GATTCGTAATGAAGTTTTCTGGACTCCTTGAGCCACTCTTGACTAAAGTCCTCCGTGGAATCAAATATAGGGAACTCAAGAAATCCCTTAGCCCTGACCGACTTGGTGTCTTATCGTAGGGGACCGTATCTAAACAAATTAGATCTTTGAAGACTTCAGGAGTGCGTCTGGAATAAGAGTCAACTTTGGAAAAAGTCAGGATCACTGGTGTGGTGAGTGAAAACCCGCACCGACTCCCCATTGGGTATTTCCTGGATCACAGAAAAAATCATCATTTTGGGCACCATAGTCACCCCGGGACATGGAACATCGGTATCAGCACATTAGTAAACTACTGGAAGGAGCCATTGTCCCCCTTTGTCCGCAGTCTCTCTTCACTAATTAGGTATGAGGCAATCGATAATACTGAAAATTAATTAAATATTTGTAAACGCTGCTCCACAGACCACATATTTGATGCTGCATTCTACATGCGTTGACATGTGGTCTACTTAAAGTAAAAGGCAGTGCTAACTACCCGCAATATAGAACTACATACAATGTTAGAACCTTGGCGAACAGAGCGAGGGGAAACTTGCCCTGGGCCATTCTACCTTATCTATGCAGTTACTTGTGTAGCGAGTCCGAGGGGAAAAGTCCCGTGTGTAGGTGAGGAGGTCGAATGGACTTATAATTAATTGGAGAAAAGTATGCGCGAACAGTGTCAAAAATTGGGACGAGGACGGCGTTGTTAGTTACAAGTGACAAGCTGCTCGGACACGAGGTGTTTGAACCTTCGTGGGAGCTTGTGCAAGGCGATGATTTCGCGGTGGGTTGAACGTAAAACCCATGTCTGCGCGAAATGATGACGGACCGGACAGAATCAGAGACGATGTTTAACGTACCTCCGTGGGAAATATCGGAGGTAGGCTATATCGTGCTGGTTTGGACAAGGGACAAACATAGATTTAAAGACAGGGTCCGTGTGGCGAACGTGTGGCGCGAGAAGAAGGGGCGAACTGTGTCGCTCGATGCAGATTGTTCAAGTGCGAACAAAAAGGAGTTGATAAACATCTAGCAGTTAGTCAATCTGCATCCTGTGACGAACACACCATTGGCTAGATGGTGTGGGTCGGTGGATATGCTAGAGATGAACTACGAAATATATTATCAAAAATGAAGGGCAGAGATTAGGATTTTGAAATGACAATATTGTTGGCACTAATTATCGATAATTGATTAATCAATAATTCTATAAAAGGTCCTGAGCTGGTATAAGGTTGACAAGGTTGTAAGAATGAGTGGGACATTAAGGGGAAGGTAGATAAGAGTCACCAAGGGTTGGTTGTAAGCAAGACTCACGTGGTGGTTGGAATTCTTCGACGCCTGAATTACAGGGTGAATTTTGAGTCGTTTAGGGAAAGAAATTATTTTTCGTGAGCCGTGCTTACAAGTAGGAGAGTTAATATACAAATAGGTATACAAAAGTTTAGGTGCTGGAGGCATATTTTAATAGATAAATTGATTATGAAAAATCTATTGTTAATAGTAAAAATCGTAAAGCATTAATAGGTAGAATTCCATTTTTTCAAGAGTTACGTTAAAATGGAAATTATTTAATTAAAATGACGATTGTTAAATTCTACTGGTAAGGTAACTAATTAAATGAGTTACAAATATCTAGATAAATAGTATGGAGAATAAAATCATTGTTAATAGGCGTGGAGAGAATAAATGGAGCTAATTATGTAAATATTGGGACAATTTACAAGGAATGACTTGTTTAAAGAATGAATGGTAGGAGTTAAAACAATTACACTCACGAGTTATGTTGGTTTAGGGCGCAGGTAAGTTCATTGATCTTCGGGAGAGTTCTGTCTGTGACACTGTGCGTACCAGTGTTGTACATCACAGTAGCGGCAGGGATATGGCGGAGTCTTGTCCATGATGGAGGAAGGTGTCCTGCCCTGGCACGGTGGTCATTCTTGGGCAGATCTAGTGCTGGGAGAAGTGGGCGGTAGTTTCATCTCCGTCGTTGGTGATCACTTCTTCAGGGTAACGGTTCAAAGGTTGGCGAGGAAGAGGTTGAGGGCTCGAAGAGGAGTGGTTACAGTTGAGTTGGGTTTGGCCGATCATCGTGGCTTGGCTTCTTGTTTCTTCATATACTCTGGTATATGAGGGATTTGCTTCCCGGCCAGGTCTTATCCTGTCGACTCTTCTGTGATAAGATCCTGTCGACTCTTTATGTGATATGATCCTGTCGACTCTTTATGTGATATGATCCTGTCGACTCTTTATGTGATATGATCCTGTCGACTTTCAATGTGGCAATATAGTGATAATAATGTGGGGAGAGAGAAATAAGGAAACCACAAGTTTGGAAGAGGAATTCCAGGCAACCAGCGAGAGAGAGGGAGCGCGAGCGGCTGCCCGCTGAACGACCGTTCGTGTCGCACACCACCCCCCAACTGTCCAAAAATAGTCCTGAGGTTCCAAGAAAAGGTCCCCCTCGGAATGTGGCCAGTGGCCCAAAATGGCCGTACTTTAGCTACCTTCTATCTACGTCTCTCTCTGGTTGACTGTAGGTTTACTTTATTATTCCTGGAAGAGCATACATTATGACATATACATATACAACTCTAGAGCCTATATGGAACTTTTAAAGAGAAAAATAGATAGCTCTTCTAATCGCAGTTCAATAACTGAAACCCCTATATACCTGAAGAAATTTGTCCATTTGACCGACCGATATTGTAACACCGATTCGTAATGAAGTTTTCTGGACTCCTTGAGCCACTCTTGACTAAAGTCCTCCGTGGAATCAAATATAGGGAACTCAAGAAATCCCTTAGCCCTGACCGACTTGGTGTCTTATCGTAGGGGACCGTATCTAAACAAATTAGATCTTTGAAGACTTCAGGAGTGCGTCTGGAATAAGAGTCAACTTTGGAAAAAGTCAGGATCACTGGTGTGGTGAGTGAAAACCCGCACCGACTCCCCATTGGGTATTTCCTGGATCACAGAAAAAATCATCATTTTGGGCACCATAGTCACCCCGGGACATGGAACATCGGTATCAGCACATTAGTAAACTACTGGAAGGAGCCATTGTCCCCCTTTGTCCGCAGTCTCTCTTCACTAATTAGGTATGAGGCAATCGATAATACTGAAAATTAATTAAATATTTGTAAACGCTGCTCCACAGACCACATATTTGATGCTGCATTCTACATGCGTTGACATGTGGTCTACTTAAAGTAAAAGGCAGTGCTAACTACCCGCTATCATCTATCATGGACTGTACGACACGTAGTCAGAATAAGTAAAAGAAAAACGTTTTTGATATATGATGAAACCTCGATTTAAAAAAAAAAAATTATTATACTTATTTACATATTTTTATTGTTTATTCACATCGTCAAATTATAGGTTTACTAATATGGAAGAAGAAATAGTAATTTGTTTATTTTTACGAAATTACTGGTAAAATGGCTAGAAAAGAGTAACTGAAGTCTAAGATATTTTTGCTCTGTAGAAGGTAAGGAAATGATAAAAATAAGGGGTATAAGATTATTATAAAAATTAATCAAGGTAACATCAGCCTTTCTGATCAACCTCGATCCGGGAGATTCTCCACTGTGAATTGCGAAAAATTGAGGCCACATCCACCACCATATCCAACAAAATTGTAATATCACAATCAAACGGGGTTCAACGTGGTAAAGTCAGGTTCAGTTAAAGTTCAGAGTGGTGCCCCATGAATTAGGCTCAAGGCCGGGTTGATAGTTGTCGACAATTACCGAATCACCCAATTAGTGATATTTTCATCAAGCGAATCACTACCTGCAATGAAAAATGGATTCCTGGCATGAGAAATCAGTGAAAGCTTTCACATATAGTGGATAAACGAAGACCTTACGAACTCAAAGTGATGATTTTAGTGTTTGATGGAATTTCGAAGATCTAGTGCACCTTCAACTGTCAAGAAACGGTCAATAAATTTAGCGCTGCGCGATATACTCTAAACAAATTGAAATAACTCATAAACTTTTATTTCTCAAATACCTAGTGTTCCCTAATAAGCCAAACGAGGATGATACCCCAGCAAGACAACACTTCACATCACAAGATACTTGGCAATCTGCTAACTTGAATGTATTTAAATGTACCAGAAGATACCTTAATCAACCTGTCCCAGTATGATTTTTCACTTTTGTACTCTTTTTCACTTTAGTTTGGCGTTCCCACGCACTTATGGCATTAAATAGCTTACTGACCCGCCTTTTTGTCTGTTGAGATACAGCCTTCACCACGTTGACGAATGCCAGCATCCTGTAACTAATACGTGGTTGGCGTTTCTTTGTTAATTGGCCAATATTTTATAAATACAGTAGAACTTGGATAATTCGAACTTCTTTAATTCGAAAACCTCTTTAATTCGAATATTTATCTTGGTCACTAGAATTTCCTATTAATAGAATTTCCGTTTTTAATTCGAATTTTTGGATAATTCGAATTTTTTTATGGTCCCTTGGGGTTCGAATTATCCAAGTTCGACTGTATTATTAAAATCAATGATTAGTTTATATTTATTCCGCCAGATAGCGCAAGCTATCAGAAACTTTCAGGTGCACGATCAGGAAGGTGAGGAGATGCTTATTTCTTAATTAAATATTTGTTTATTTTATTTTGATTTAGAATGAGAGAGAAACGTTTAAAATACACATTGGCATACATCCTAAATATATATTGGAAATTTAAGTGTTTGAACGTTCATTTTGAAATGTTTAAAATATATTGGTACAACACATTTACAAGCTCAAATGTATAGATATAAAAGCGCCCAGCACATATAAAACGTTCTATCACACATGACTATTGAAGAAGCACATATTGATGTTTCCAGCACCGATACCACAGTATGATAGAGAGAGGAAGACAGCGGCTACTACAGAAGCCGTAATTCAGTGAACCTCGAGGTCGCCCACTTCTAGATCTTGATCTGGAAATCGGTGGCCACACCCTCGATAGCTCAGTTGGCAGAGCGGTGGACTGTATAGTGAACCAACGGTGATCCATAGGTCGCTGGTTCAAATCCGGCTCGAGGGACTTTTTTTTATATATACATATATAAAATAATCAAACAAACCTCTTCCGTGATTCCCAATATGGTGAGAGAGATAACTTTTTTATACCATATAAAAAGTGTTATCAGGTAGAAAAAAATAAAAAAAAATAAACAAGATGACAATTTATCATGACCAAGACAAAAATATATACTATATATATAGTAGTAATACGAGATAAGTATTCTAAGAAAACAACAAAAAAAAAAAAAGACTCAAAAAAAGGAAGGAGTTATCCGAATATAAATAGCGAACGACTAAATTATATTCGCATGTTAATTTAGAAGATAGATAATTGTAAGCATAACAGATAAATAAATTAAAAATGTAGTTGTAACAGTTTGGTTGTATCGAATTGACTAAACCGCTAATAGGTTCACCATTGACTGGCCAAGCCCTCTCTATACATTTTTCATTCTTTAATTTATCGCTTGAAGAAATTTTTCTATTAAAATACAACAAAAATAATTGGCCTGGTCCTATTATAAGGTGTTATTCAGCATGACATTGATAGATAGAGTTGGCGGATGTCGCATTGGATCAACAAATCCCGAACGTGCATATTTGAGGTGCGATCCGGAGACCTTGTTGACCACACAAGATAGTACTTGGCATGCACGAAGACAAACGGTGGGGACTATTGCCGTGGGCAGTTGGGAATTATCTTGAAATGCAAGCACAGGATGCCGCAGTATAAAGGTCAACACACTTGTTCATACAATCTCGTAGACGCACCACCGTGTTCTAAGGTTGCCGCTGATGACAGCCAAAGAGGCCCGGCTATCAAAGGAAAGGGCAGGCAGTTGTCGGGCCGTTTGACGGGAGACAATCAGCTTGGTATTCCAAGGCTATCCTAGACATCTCTATACACGTTTTCGCTGGTCATCGAGGGCTCACTTCGAAGCATCACTCAGTACTGTAGACAACTGGATTTCATTCAGTCAAATTCCAGGCTGAATGGACTCAGCAGCACTGCAAACCTGCTTGTCGATGTGCACAGACAGTCGGCGCAAGCGACACTATGTGCTCAGCTCCCTTTCTCTGAGCCGCCTATTACTGGTATTTGCTGCCACTAATACCCCACGCGCAACGACGTCGTTAATGACGATTCAGGGCTGTGAGAGCCGCTTTAACGATTGCTTGGTCCTCAGGTTCAGTCGTCTCTCTAGGTCGATCGCTGCCTTCCTGATGCTGCGTTCGGCCAAGGTTCAGCCATTCCTGTCGAGATAGAGGTATCTTTCCTATACAAATGTCGAGCTAACCAGCTTCTTTTAGCTTAACTGCACGTCCTCTCAAATGCTGATCTTTGCACATACTTCTCATACAGCTATCCTATTAAAAATATATTAAAACAATGCATTTTGTTCATCCATACAGTATAAAACGCAAATGTTTTAATGTGCTTTTAAAGGGAGACATGCCTCTTTTTGTACATGAATACCATCCTCCCTAAAATTTGTTTGATTCTGGCTTGAAAATCGGCCCTTTCACTTCACCAGTTTAACCACTTTTTTTGGAAAATTCGACGGATTTCATAACTCCTTTCGTAAGATGCTATGAAATCGAAGCCGCCCCTGTACTGATGAGGGCCAAAGCCCGAGACCATGTATACAGGTAGGCTTTTGACTGTATTTGCCAAAGTTGGTGTTGTGGCTCATTTTTCATCACCATCTTTGCGCTTTGCAATGAGGTGATGAACAGTGAGGGCAGGTTGGGTCTGTTTGGTATGCTCAAGTACAGGGTTTGCCAGGATATGGCCATGACCCGTATAGATGGTGGTGGTGCCTTTCGACGGTAGAAATCTTTAATAAATTTCACGAGACGGCTTAGAGTGGAGTCGATTCTCCTGAGGGATCTGGTTGAATAGTCCTGGGAATATATGACTCTCCATGACGCTAGAGCAGCCATGCGCAATAGGCTTCGAACCTTATTTCGAGGCAAGGAGAAATATGAGTGTGATAGAGAAGAAGTAGCGGCATTATTGCTGCCTGTATTCTAGTTCATTTCCGTTGCTTTCACTGTGTCTACGTACCCAGCACAGCTTGATGAGGGGTGGTCTATTCATAACTTGCGTTATTTTAGCCACTAATGAAGTTCCTATTGGTCCAGAGATGCAGATAGATGCTAAAGCGGATCTGCAGTTAGAGACAATGGTCATTCCTGTGTTGATTGGGTTTATCTTCGCGAGTTTAGTAGCCCAGAGAATGCTGTGAGTTCATCTCGAAAGAGAGTGCAGTCTGGTGAAGCCATAAAATAACTGGCTTATATTCTTGGAAAGGGAAAATAATGACAGCACCAACTACTGAATCACTTTTGATCCATCTGTGAAGATTAATAGCGTTGTTACCTCATCAAAGTTCAGACTGAAGGAAAGGGGTCGTCTGAATGGGAGTGCAGCAGGTCCTGGCTTGGCTTCATAGTTCCCCTCCAGGATCTCCTTTTGGAAGGACAGCTTAGTCTGGATGATTATTTCAAGAGGAGGGTTGCCCGTCAGGGATATGGCTGGTATGGTTGGAGTGCAAGGACCCTCCTCTCTCAATATTTGATTTACAAATGTGTAATGGATGCTCCGGAGCTGACGGACATCCTTCTTGGAGGAAGCACGACGACTCCAAGATGACACTTCGAATAAAAGGCCCGGGATGACCACTGACTGGAGGAATTTTATGCCAGCAGCATTAAAAATACCGGATTTCTCATTAAATTAGTCAATCGTGGAACAATTGCTCAACTTTTAAAAATGAGTTTGAGCGAATAAGAGACAAATCCTCGTGTCTGGTCGAATTCCACTCAAAAAATAATTATGACCTTACAAATAATGGTAGGTTGGCCAAGAAATTTGAGTTCAGGATTGGGGTTAAGGCGAACTCTTCACCGCTGGAAGATACAGGCTAGCGTCTTTCGGGGATTAAGGTAGAGTCCTCACCTCGGTAAGGCGATTTTATCCAGAAAGCAATTAATGGGTTTGGTCGACAGACGACCCCGAACATGAGGCAAGACAGTGAAGTCATCCGCATAAGAACCGGTAAACTCTCTTATGGGGTGTATGATGAAGGGGAGCCAGATGGATGATATTCCACAAAATTATGCTTGATGTGGAACCTTTGGGGTGCCAAGCAGTGAGAATCTGAAGGCTGTTTCAGTCCACGTGGAAAATGACGCCATTCTGTTTTCCGAGAAACTTTGAATAAGACAGGTCAGAGAACGAGAACAAGCCAAGCGTTTGAGACCTTGTATAATGGCCGGTCTCCAAACAGTGTCAAATTAATTTCTAATGTGCAAGCTGATGGCCAGGTTTTTTCCTCCAGTGAGCCTGCCATGTTCAATAAACTGGGTATTTTTGGCTAGTGCTCCTTCTGCTGATCTACCGTGCACAAATCCAAATTGGTTTTATGAGTGTCTTCCATGGCGATCAACGAGCCAATCTGACCAGGATACATCTTTCAAAAATCTTGGCTATGGTGTTCAGAAGAGTGATTAGTCTGTACTTCGCCAACTGCCTGTTGGCAGAAAGGGGCGCCTTGGGGTGGAGTACAAGGCGGTTTTTTTTCCATGGTCAACGAAAGTGATCTAGCCTGAGGCATTTGTTAAATATTCCAACTAGCTGTGATATCTATCCTATGGGAATCAAAGTTACCTGGTCCTGAAGCTTTTCCTCTACCACAGGCTGTATAGCTCTTGTAACTCCCAAGGTTTATATTCAGGTTGATTGGAAACATTACATAAGCGAATTTTGGAGAATAAGGTCTGGTGTTCTGTTGGAAAAAGTGATTCAGCACAGCGAGGCAAGTCTCTTCAGGAGAGAAATGAGATTCGTCATCACGTTTGAAAAGAGGCGAAACTCTTGGGGAGCTGCGTCCATGCACGATAAAACGGTGAATAACACTCTACGACCCAGTTGAATCCTCCTCACAGAGGTCAAGCCAGGAGTGGCGTATGGCTTTTGAATAGTAGACTGGATACTTTTTTGATATGCTTGATATATAATTAATAGTAAAAAGTTGCTAATAGGGCCCCGCATTTCTTGATTGTTGTGGCTGAGGGTAACTACCAACTTTAGGACGCGGTTCACTCGTTGGCTGAGGATAAAGTCTTTGGCAAAAGCCACCAGCAAACTTTTCGATTTGAAAGAGTAGGAATAGTGCACGAGCGACCGCATTCCTGAGAAAGGAGCTTAATACAGAGTCTTGAGATGTACCCAGTTGGGAGAAGATGGAGGCTTTAAATGACCACGCGGAATAAGAAACTTCTCTGTATTCAAATAAACTTTGCACAAGGCAAACCAACGAGTCTGGACATAAAAGATGATTTAGGCTTTAGACAATTGCCGATCTCCACATGGTATCAAAATCCTTGCTGATGTACCTATATATGTACCTATATATTGTTACATCATGATTAATGGCGTATTTATTATATTATTTTTAATATATTTGAAATTTAAATTATATATTTATTTATTTTTATATTCTATGATATTTATTTAAAACAGATTATTTTTAGATTATCATCATTTGTATTTAGGTACACTGTGACTTCACTGCTCTCTTTGATGTGAGAAAATAAATAAATGATTCTGGTGGCTACATAAAGTAGACTCATCTCATTATTCCCTTTTATAAATTTGTAGGATGGTTGAAACACGCTCTGGTAAGATGCAAGACCCAGCACAGGAGAGAATCAAGGCTGAAGAGTCTGCCAAGCCGCAACCTGGTGCAACAATTGGTAGAGATGCTAGTTCCGACCCAGTTGTCCTGAATCCCAACATCGACATCCCCAAGTATGATGGAACAGAAGACCCTCGCCCATGGATTGAATCTCTTGAAGAAATTGGCTTCCTGTACCATTGGGCAGACTACATTATCTCCCGTTATGCTGCCATGAATATGATTGGTAGCGCCAAAACCTGGCTGAACCTACACAAAGTAAGTTTCACCAGCTGGGAAAATTTCAAGAGCCGCCTAATTGAGGATTTTGCCTCAG